AAAGACCATGTGACCTTGTGAACATGGAATAAAAAGCAACTCATGCGGGAAAGAAAAACTATAAAGGTGTGAAAAAGATAAAGCGATAAACATAGTGCTTACTTGCAGAACGGCGGAGGAAAACAGAGCAAATGAACAGAAACAGAGGCTCGACCTGTCTGTGTTTTCTCTCTTTTTCTTTTCTTTTTCTTTTCTTCTCTCTATGACACAAGCTCTCTTCTCTAGAGGATGCAGCTTCTTGTGCTTTCGAAGGCAGAGGGGTATTTATATAGGGACGCCGAGGATAAGCAGTCGTGCTTATCTGATAGGTTATGGAAATACACAGGTGCTGAAAGTGGGCCCATATGCCAAGAGCTCAGCCGACAGCTGTCTCTACTTTGGTAAAGATGACAGCAAACCCTTGCATTGCAGTCTCCTTGCATGTCTGAGCGAGTGAACAACACGTGCTGAGTGCTTGGTTGATAGGGTTCTTACTTCACGGGGAAGGAATAAAAGGTTTTCATGATAAGAAAATTGATTTGGAGTCAAAAATATAAATTGAACTATTTTAGTAATGATTACTTTAAATATATTTTATTTTACATTAATATGGTCGTATAATTAAAATTCATATATTTCAACATTCAAAGATTTAATTTAATAAGTGACGCGTGATATTTATGTTTAAAAACTTAGCGCGTGATTTTTTTTGTTTAAGAATCATATTCAAATCCATTCTTGCCAAATAAAAGAAGATGCATATACCCATAAAGAGAAATGAGGTTGGTGGTCAATTAATATAGTAACGGCCACAAAATTTTTTTATTAGGTAAGTTTACGACTTGACATATATGTAAATACTTCCATATTTATCTGAAGATAAGATCAACACGTAATTTTGAATTGGTCAATTATTGGTCCACATAAATATGATAATTTGTAAATACGTGTCATGTAAATTCAAAATATATATTAATGATTATATAAATAATTTATACAAGTCATAAACCAATAAAAAGGTTATATGGACCGACATCATGACATGATTAATTAAATAAGTTAAATAGGTTTTAAATGAGTTAAGTAAGTTGACACATTTAAGACACGAATTGTCATGTACACGATTAATACATGAAATGTAATTATCTTAAACTTAAAATTATTTAATTTTTTGTTATATGCATAATGTACTAACATATCATACACAAAATTACTAGGTCTAGTCAGACATTGCAATTCCAATAGGCCTCCCCAACATATAAGGTCACTCATAAAGAAAGCGTGTGACAGCTACTGAGCCCAATCTGGTCAAGGTTATGCATTGCTTTAAAAAGATAAATTAAGTTGGTGGTCAAATAATATTGTAACAGTTGTAAAATGGTTTTTTATTAGGTAAGTTTATGCCTTGTTATATATATGCAAATACTTCCATCTTTAGATGTAGATAAGATTGACACGTAATTTTAGACCAATCAACCATTCCACATAAATATGGTGTCAAAGTACTTGAAAAATCCTTATACTTACATGTTTTCTTTAATTCAATTCTTTTACTCCAAATTATAATATTTTAATCCTTATGCCTTGTTAGTAACTCAGACTCAAAGTGTGACGTGGTAATGCTATGTTAGTAACTCAAACTCGAAGTGTGACATGGCATTAAGATATTATCTTGACACAATGATGTGGCAGTGCCACATCGACCTGAACTTACCTTAAATGCCACATTAGCATCTGGTGCCACAATAGCGCCACATTAGTATTAACATCAATACCATAACAGTCAATTTAGATGAAAAATGTTAAAGGAACTAAATTGAAATAATTTTTAAAATCAAGAGACTAAAATGTTACGATTTTAAGTAAAGGGCCTAAATTGACGAAAACGCCTAAGTACATAGACTTCTTAGGTACTTTGACCTATTGTAATTTGTAAAGTGTGCCTTAACTGTGTCATGTAAATTCAAGATATTAATGATCATATGAGTAATTTATATAAGTCATAAACTAATAAAAAGGTTACATGGACCGACATGGTGACATGATTAATTAAACAAGCTAAATAGGTTTTCAATGAGTTAAGTAAGTTGACGCATTTAAGACACAACAATTGTCATGTGTATAATTAATACAGGAAGTGCAATTATCTTAAACCTAATTCTATTTAATTTTGTGCTATATGCATATGTGTAAAGTTGCTAGATCTAGTGCAACATTGCAATGTCAATAGTCATCCCCAACATGTAAGGTCACTCATAGAGAAAGCATGTGGCAGCTACTAAGTACAGTCTATTCAATGTTATGCATGGCTTTAAAAAGAGAAATTAAGTTGGTGGTTAAATAATATTGTAACAATTATAAAATGGTTTTCTATCAAGTAAATTAATGCCTTGATATATATGCAAATATTTCCATCTGTAGATAAGATTGACACATAATTTTAGACCAATCAACTATTGATCCACATAAATATGGTAATTTGTAAATGTGCATCTTAATTGTGTTATGTAAATTCAAAATATTAATGATTATATGAGTAATTTAAGCAAGTCATAAACCAATTAAAGGGTTCCATGGATCGACATGGTGACATGATTAATTAAACGAGTTAAATAGGTTTTAAATGAGCTAAGTAAATTGACACATTTAAGACACGAAATTGTCATGTCTATGATTAATTTACGAAATGCAATTATCTTAAACTTAAATCTATTTAATTTTGTGCAATATGCATAATGTAATCATGTATCATATGTAAAATTGTCAGGTCTAGTCCGACATCACAATTTCAATAGTCCTCCCCAACGTGTAAAGTCACTCATAGAGTCAATGTTATGCATTGGCTCTAAAAAGAAAAATTAAGTTGATGGTTAAATAATATTGTAACAATTATAAATGGTTTTCTTATAAGGTAAGTTTATGTCATTATATACATCTATGCAAATACTTTCATCTTTATTTGTTGATACAATCGACACATAATTTTAGACCAGTCAACCATTGATCCCACATAGATCTTGCAATTTATTTGTGTGTTTTACATGTATCATGTAAAAGAGTTATCAACTAACTAAATAAGTTAAATAAATTTTAAATAAATTAAGTAAGTTGACATGTTTAAGATATGAAATTATTATATATATAATTAATACATGAAAGATGAATATATTAAATCTAAATCTACTTAATTTCGTATTCTATGTATAATTTATTAACGCGTCATATGTAAAATTGTTAGGACTAATCCGACATTGTAATTTCAATAGTCTTCTTTTCCCGGACGTGTAAATCACTCCTAGAGAACAGCGAGTGGGGGTAACAAAGTCCACTCCATTCAAAGATATGCATGGTTCTTCGCCCCTTATCCGACGTGAGGACAAAATTAAAGTCTCTTTTGTGATCCAAAGGGCAATAACGCACCACGCACGGGGAAAGCAGCATAATTCTGAACTCACGGACGGTGGCGCATAACTTTCCTGGCTCTAAATGCTTGGAACCACTGTACATATAAATAATTTGTCCTTTTTTGTCCTGTTTAAATAAAGGCTAAAAAAAGTTTAAAAAATGCGAAATAAAGCTTAAAAGTTGAAGCTCTGTTTGCCCATTTGGATTTTGATGTTCTCCTAACTCTTTTAGCTTAATGGTGAATTATTGATGTCAGCTTTTATTTGAGTTTGATTTGGCATTGATTATTTAGTTTTGTTTTATATGAGAGGCAGACTTACGAATTAGAATCTTTAAATAAAAAAATTATATATTAATTATAAAATCAAATATTTAAATTTTATTTAATTATAAAATTAAAAGCAAGTTGCATTGTCAAATTAAATTCTCATAAAAATAAAACTTGGATACAAAAACCTAGCATGCATTTTTATAGTGATTTAAGCTGCCAAGTTTCCATGTAAATAAAGAATTTCAAACCATTGAATCAGTGCTTTTAATTAAGACTCAAAATATTTAAGTGGTCAAATTATTCAATTAGTCCATATAGTTTGTCAATATGGTAGATTTAGTTTATGAATAATAATCTATAAAATTTTAATTTTTATAGTTTTTAAAAATTGATAATGTTAATTTTAATCATTAACAGTATTAAATTTTTTTTTATTATCTATGTTAATATGATATTTAACTGTATTGACATGATATATTTTGTTGATATGATATTGAATACGATAACGTGACAAGGAGTAATCATATAATTTGATTTAATTAAATAATTGTGTTTTTCTTAATTTTGATTTGAAGTAGTAAGAAGTAATTGATTATATAGGAGGATGACAAGTCAACCTCATTTAAATCTTTTTATTAAGGTTTAACATTTCATATTAAAAAAAAAAGCATGAAGTCTAAACCAAACAGCGCCTTGTCATTAACTAACTTTCTTTTGTCATCAAGTATTTTTCTATTTTCATTGGTAATATAAAAAAGTGCATGTACCTATATTTTTGTACGAAAAAGGCAAAAAACAATCAAGAATTTATCTTTTTGTAAGGTTGTTGGTAAAAGAAACCAAAAAAGGAAATAGAAAAGAAAAAGGAAAAGAGATTCATGAAAGGCAACATAATCAATATTTCACCGACTTTCCTTTTAATCTTACAATATAAGGATTGACAATGAATATTTTATAATTCGATATTGTATGCTATTTGATTATATAATTGGGTACAAATTGAATAATACTTGTCCATTTTTTATTATTAAATTTTAATTATATATTTTGTGTATAAATTAATTATAATGGATGTAATACTTATTAATTATTTGTATGAATTAATTTTAATTTTAAAAATTATTTTTTATTTGATTAATACTCATATCCGAATTCAAATATTAAATATTAATTTTTAATCGAATGCCAATAAAATATGAATAATTACGGATAAAGTCCACTAAATGTTGTACGGTTCGTCGTCACCAGAAAACATTTGTCAAGAGTGGAGCCCACTTTTCGGATCCAACCTAACAGAATTATATAAGTGACTCTGCTTATCATTTTTTTTTATTTTTTCAGTTTTATTGGCCTCAGTCTTTCTGCTTCTATTCTGTTTCAAAGTGCGAAGACGAGTCGCGAGAGAGAAAAGACCTAGGCGGGAGCTGTTGACGCTAGCTGGATCGCCGTCAGTTAGGGTAAGCCTTTGGGAGAAAGCTTTTTCTCTTATTTACTAGTACAACTTTTCTTTTGTTCCTTTCACTTTTTATATTTTTTTCATTTCTTTTTTTTTCTCACTTTAATTTTTCTTTGTGTGATATATATCTGTTTTAAGCTTAAACCAACGGTTCTGATCGGTAACCTTTTTTCTTTGTATATTAAATTCGCTGTTATTAACAGTCGAACCTTGATCGTTTCGGCAAATTGGGATTGGATTAACTTGTTTTTCTCTTGCTTTTTGGTTTATCTTTTAATCTGTCGCTTTTTTTTTTGAAAGGTTTTTGATCTGTTATTTTGATCGTCAATCGAATCCTAAGTTTTGTTTGGTTAATGAGAAAATGGACGGATCAAGGACGTAGAAGACTAGAAGGAGTTTCAGCTTTCGCGGTAAGTTGGTCGCTTTCTCTGTTTTCGATCGGAGCTGCGTATAGTTTGCCTTTTTTTCGCTGTTTTTGTTGATGATCACTCTTGATTGTTGATCTATTTTACTTTGGATTAGCCGAATGTTTTTATAAAAGCTTTATTTTGTGTGTTCAATTGGCTAGGATTCGAGACAGGATTATCTATTGGAGGTTGAATTCTTGAAATCAAAGGTGAAACTTTACTCTCTTTAGTTGATAACGGAGAAATGAAGGACGAGAAGGAAACCTGAGTCATTTTCTGTTTCCGTTTGGAAATTTTTTTACTTGTTTGTATAGAATATTTGTATTATCAGTTCCTTTTCGTTGCCAAATTAACTCGTGAAAATTTGGAGAAGTTTCAGAGAGGAGAATTCATGGCTACTGAGAAGAGGTCTACTCTCAATAAAGAACTTCTTTTCTTAATCTTACAGTTTTGCAACGATGAAGGATATAAAAGAACAGCTCATATGTAAGCTTCTATTCATCTTGTGCTTAAATTCAGATGTTTTTCCATGTATATATTCCGTTTTTCACCGATTTCATCTGTAGGCTCGAGCGTGAAAGTGGATGTTGCTTTGACATGGAGTTTGTAGAAGACATGGTGCTTACTGGAAAGTGGGACAAGGTTGAGAAATATCTTTCTGGTTTCACAAATGTGGACAGCAATAAGTATTCGACCAAGATTTATTTTGAAATCAGAAAGCAGAATTTCCTTGAGGCGTTGGACAAGTAAGCTATTGAGTTTTTCTGTAAGACATTCAGATAAGCATCTTCATGCAGATATTATGTGTGTAGCTCTTACTTTTCTTGAAATTGGTTTATCGTTGTGCAGTAATGATCGTGCAAAGGCTTTGGATATCCTGATGAAGGACTTGAAAGTCTTTGCTCCAGGTAATGAAGAGCTATTCAGAGAGATGACTCAGCTTTTAACATTAGATGATTTCAGGTATATGTTTTGTACTAGTCCCTTAATTTCAGATTTTTTATAACATTAGCATGATGATACAAAGGAGAGTTAAAAGATCCATCTGGGTTTAACAGGGAACATGAGTCGCTCTCTATGTATGGAGATGTAGAATCTTCAAGGAAAGTTTTGATGGATGAAATTAAGAAACTTATTGAGGCAAACCCCAACTTCCATGGGAAATTGAAATTTCCAAGCATCAAAAGCCAAAGGTTGCGACGTCTCATTAATCAAGGGTAGCAACCTTTCTCTCAATCTGTTGGTTTGCCTTCTCCTTTATGTTACATTAACCTTTTCTCAGTAAAAAGTTAAATTCATTCAACTCTTTAATTAAGTTAATTGTAATCACTTTTTAAATCTCTCTGTTGTATCTATCAAATTTTTCTTTATTTCTAGACTTCTCTGTTAGACATTGAGATAGAACTAATTTTTCCATGTGATCTGACAGCCTGAACTGGCAGCACATTCAATGTAAATATCCTCAGCCAAATCCCGATGTAAATACCCTCTTTGAGGATCATGTTTGTCAATGGCAACAGAATCGTTTGTTCATGCAGTCAACTGAGAATTTAGTGGTAAGAAAAGAAGGCATTTTGAGGCCCGTGATTATCTTTATTATGATACTTATAGAATGTTCGAAATTTTCATGTTTAGCCTTCTCAAGATGCATCAGTGCCAGATTTCCCAGCCAGCTGGATTTCTGGTCCATCTGCTGTAACTCATGCTGTTTCTAATGAAGACATGTATCTCAGTGGTCCAATAACACTAGGTAGTGGTTGTAACACTTTTGTTGGTCTGTTGTTAGATCTCAGAATTGAGGCGATTTTGTTTATTCATTCTGTACATTCACAATGTTTTCTTACCTTTTTATTGCCTCTTAATTGGTAGCTACAACTTCAAATAATATTGGGGATTTACATACTATGTCTCAAAAAAGCCTATTGGGAACTGAAGATGAGGTAACCTCGATCAAGTTTACTGCAGCTTTACTTTTCACCACTATTTCTAAAATTATTCGTTTACCTGTATGCTTAGGTTACGTCTGCTATTCCGCATCTTGGTCGAAATCACAGCCCTTCACCCAACATTTCTGATGACTTGTCCATTATTTCCATGAATAATGAAATGTTACAAAATATTGTACCAGTCAGCCATCCCGACTTGCCCAAGACTGTTGCACGGATTTTGAATGAGGAGAATTCTCCAGTGAGCATGGAATTTCATCCTGTATATCAGACTTTTCTACTAGGTTAGTTGCTCTGCATGTCCTCCCACCCTAACTTCTTGTCAGTTTTATAGAGAGATTATTTGATTGAATACTCTATTTTGACTGATGTTTACCTACTACGTTTGGTTATTTCAGTTGGAACCAACATTGGGGACATAGTGTTGTGGGATGTTAATTCAGGGAAAAAATTGCATTCAAGAAATTTTATGGTTTGGAATATTGGAGCATGCTCAATGACATTCAAGGTTTGTCCCCTTCTTGACTTTGTTATATATATTAGCAAGAAATTAGTTTTGTCACTTGCATGACTATAAACCTGAACCAATTTGAACATATGCAGACAGCTATGATGAAAGATCCATGTATGTCTGTTAATCGGGTTGCTTGGAGCCCTACTGGTTCTCTCTTTGGTAAGTTTAAAGAGATACTGGAAAACTTCATTCAGAAAATGATTTGGATATTGTTTTAATTGAACCAAGTATTTTTGCTCTGCCTTTAAATAGGGGTTGCATATTCAAAACATATTGTGCAATTGTATTCTTACCTTGGTGACACTGATGTTCAGCAGAAGTTGGAGGTAGCTTCATGTTTTTGCTCCAATTCTACAATGATTGATTTCACTAGTCTGGATCGGAAATTAAATTTTATTTTCTTTTTCTTGTAAAATGTAGATTGATGCTCATGTTGGAGGTGTTAATGATTTAGCATTCTCTACACCTAAAAAGCAACTTATGGTCATAACTGGTGGTGATGACAAGATAATTAAGGTAGTTTCTTTTCAGTGTCCTTTTATCTCAGATGGTAATTTGCATCATGGAGAAAGTGATCAATCGACTAGTTGATTCTTTTTTAGGTGTGGGATGCAATTACTGGAGTACAAATGCATAATTTTGAAGGCCATGAGGCTCCTGTCTATTCTCTCTGCCCTCATTACAAGGAAGATATCCATGTAAGAACTACACTCGATTCAACTATACTGATTTTTTTATAATGATAATGTAGGGCATTTCACTAATGTTTTATTTGTTGGTCATTGTATAAGACAATTTATACTTTTTCCTCCAGTTTATCTTTTCAACATCAGTGGATGGCAAGATAAAGGCATGGTTATATGATAACTTGAGAGCCAGAGTTCATTTTGATGCTCCAGGTCTGGCATGCACAACAATGGCATATAGTGCTGATAGTAGAAGGTTTGATTTGTTTTCCATGAACTTCCATTCATGATTTGTAGTGTTATATTTCCAAATGACAGATGAGCTAAATTTTTGGTGTTGTAAGTGAACTCTTTCACAGGCTTTTCTCATGTGGAACTAATAAAAATGGAGAGTCATTTCTTGTTGAATGGAATGAAAGTGAAGGTGGTGCAAAAAGAACCTACCAAGGACTTTGCAAAAATTCTTCCGCCATTGTGCAGTTTGGTCTAACCAAGGACAAGTACTTGGCCGCTGCTGATGACCATGTTATTAAAATATGGGATATGGATAAGGTTGAGCTTTTGACAACTATAGATGTAGAAGGAGGCTTACCAGTAAGTTGTTCAGTCTTTAAATTTTACTTCTTAAGAAGTGTTATGTAGAGAAAGAAGGATAATCGAAGTTAAACATCTACTTCTTTTCTAATTTGAAGGCAAACCCGCATATTCGCTTCAACAAGGAGGGCACCTTGTTGGCTGTTGCTGCAAACGAAAACAAAATCAAGATCTTGGCAACGGATTTTGGTCTTCAGTTGCTGAATGCTTTAGCAAATGATTTTGTTGATATGTCTTCAAATGTCGCTGATGCTTTGAGAAAGGTCAGCTTTTAATTGTTATCCTACTGCTTCTGGTAGAAAATTTATCTTCCCTGATTCATTTTGTTTTGTACAGCTTGTAATAAATCCAAGTTCAACTGTTGCTAGCTCTGGAGAAGCTGATGGACAAGTCCCAACTGTGAGTAATCATGAAATGATTCTTTCCATATGATATCTTATTGTGCTAAACGTCCATTTTTATTGGAACATGTGTCATACGCTAACGTATTACCCTTCATGCAGAATTGCAATGAAGAGAGCTTCAAGGATGTGAACAATAAATTTATGGACAATATCAATAACAAAACACATGTTTGGAAGATTGTCCAAATCAACAGACCTTCTCAGTGCCAGTCCTTACAACTCAGTGGTCATGGGAAAGCAGATAAGGTAAATATTGTCAATAAGAAATAGTTTGATGTGTAGGAGAAGAATTTTACAAGTTAAAATTTTTTTGCAAATAATTTCATCATTATTCACTTTCAACAATCAAGTTTTGGAACGTTTGCTTTGAGAGAGTGAAACCTCTAAGATGCAGAACCTTCCAAAGCTTAATTAATCTGGTTACAAACTGCAGAGTAATGTTATGATAAGCTCTTTCTTTGACCACTGCAGATATCAAGGCTGATATACACCAATGCAGGTAATGCCATTTTGGCATTAGCTTCAAATGCCACTCATTTGCTTTGGAAATGGCCTCAGAATGACCTCAATTTGAGTGGAAAGGTAACAAAGAACCAAGAAATACTTTTCTGCTTTCAGTTTCTAGTTCTTGAGGCTTGGAAGTTCTGCAAGTGATTTTATTGAGATGTTCAATGCAGGCTACAACCGATGTTCCCCCTCAATTGTGGCAACCAAGAAGCTGCTTACAACCAATGACCAATGACCTTACGGGCAGCAAGCTTGAAGAGGCTGTGCCTTGTTGGGCTCTGTCAAAGAATGATTCATATCTATTGTCAGCATCAGGAGGGACAATTTCCCTGTTCAACATGTTGACATTTAAGGTTACCTGAAAAATCCTATGCATTATGTTGAGAATTCCTTCCAATTTTTGTTTGATTCCAACACGAATGATAGTTCATTAACCAAAGCTGGCCCTCTTCCATTGTCTTACAGACTAATGAATTGACTTGTGCAGACATACTAGTTAACTATAATCACACATGTGATTGTTGGGTTGCTTCCAAATAACAGTTTCTCATAAATTCTATGAGATTCATGCTTCTGCTCGTGCACGATCATGTTAGTTTTCATGCTGACCTTTCTCAATCTTTGTTGAGCACAGACAATGATGTCTATCATGCCTCCATCACCGGCAGCAACAAGTCTGGCGTTCCACCCTCAAGATAACAACATAGTTGCTATTGGAATCGATGATTGCACTATATTGATATATAATGTCCGTCTGACAAAGGCATGTTTTTCCTCCTTAAACAGATTTATATCATATCCTGCACCTGTTACTGTTCTGAAGAGACATCCATAAAAGCTTGTTGCTCTTATTCTCGCAGATTAAAAGCAGGCTCAAGGGTCATTCAGGAAAAGTCACTGGTCTTGCGTTCTCTAATACCATGAATGTACTTGTTTCTTCTGGAGCAGATACTCAGGTTGGTTTTTTTTATATTTATGGCATCATGGACACCTGAGACTTTTAAAACTATATGATAACTCGTCGGTAATTGTTGCAAAAACTCAACTCTAACTGCAGATTGTTACGTGGAATCCTGATGGATGGGAGAAATGTAAAAGCAAATCCTTGCATTTGCCTGATGAGAGAATGCCAGTGGCGGAGTCAAATACCCAGGTCCAGTTTCATCTGGATCAAGTACACTTCCTTGTTGTACATGAGACCCAGCTTTCTATTTATGAAGCCCAAGACTTAACATGTGTACAGCAGGTTTCTCTCTCTCTCTCTCTTTGAGCTCTGTTCTTGTCAGTATGCTGTTGATGATTCAAGTACAACAACAATCTTCTCTCTTTTTGTTTCCGCAGTGGGTTCCAGAAGATTCCACAAGAATTTCGCAAGCAACATACTCATGCGATAGCCAGATGGTATATGCCTGCTTTACCGATGGAACCGTGGCAATATTCGGTGCTTCTGGTCTTGAACTAAAATGCCAGATCATTCCCACCGCTTATCTTCCTACCAGTGCAAGGTATGTCACGTGGTTCATGCAGCAAACTCCCATTACGACCGCCTAACCTTTCATGTTTATGTCCACGTTTTTCCTGTTAGACATTCCTTTTCCCTTCCCCCCGATGACATCAATGGAATCTGATTTCCAAGTAATTCTGCAGATTAAACGTCGACGCCTTCGCTATAGCCGCACATCCCCAGAAATCAACCCAATTTGCAGTGGGACTGACAGACGGTGGAGTAATCGTTTTGGAGCCTGGGAAACTCGAAAATACATGGTTTGTAGGTGAAAATGGGTCTGCAATTGCAAACAGCATGCTCGAAGAATGAAAAATCTGGTTAAATTTTGTATATATTTTGATATTTGCGCTTGGGATCCTATGTTCGAGCGTTGCAAATTATTTAAATGTTAAAAATTTTTTACCATATGGTTTGGTTTGATTTCCTCAAGGAAAATAATAAAAGAAAAAATATCGGCCGTTTTCACAATAGGAAAAATAGAATTTGTAATTCGCGGTTGCCTAGACCGACGATACTACACCCTCCTAACAATTCAAACATAAATCTTTAGGTTCTTATTTATTGTCTTGCCCCTTCGAGAGTGTATCCACTTATTCCGTATCTCTCTCCACAGATCACGTGAGAGAGCAGCGGTAGAAATTGCTGCTGTTATACCAGGACAAAGCATGCCATTTTTTCATGCTTTGCTAAACAACTTCTTAATAAGGAAACATTGAAGTCAGCCTTCTTAAATAATGCATCCGCATCAAATACACAATTTTTAAAACTGAAAGCAACAGAAAGCATATCAGCAATTTGCGTAAACAAGTAGGATTATTAGTCATGCAAATGCACTGTAATTAAGTTAAGACATTACGTTCAAATCCGGAAATTCCCACACACCGGCAAGAATGCTGTATTTTACTTCTTCAAGCCTCCACCTTTGCTGCTGCGGATGCATAACTTACACTGCTGTCTCTCAAAGTTTTGCACTGACTTGATTGCTCGTACCGGAGGAATTTTAGCTTTATTTTTGTTGAGCTGTGCCTCAGCATCTGAAATATTCAAAGATTGGTCAAGCAAGGCCATGGGCTAATTGATGCTTTTGGAAGAACAATATCTTCATTTGTCAAAACTCTTTTGCTAGCTTTCAAGGAAGCTTTAGGTACTTACATGAAGGAAAACACTAATCGGATGGCGTCCACAGATAGTGTTGTCATACTCTAACAAATATTGTTTGAATGCATCTGCATCTCCCGTTTCTATTATATCCATGCCCATCTTGTCTAAGGCCTCAATTGACTTGTATATGGCTCCATACTTTTTCTCATAGTGCATGTAATTAAAACTGGCACTAAAAGCAAAAGTTAGAAATTTGTGACACAATGTAGAAAACCATAATTGGTATCAGTCTAAACAAATAATAAGCTTGGCTGGTGCATATCATGTAAAAGAGCCATGGATAAAAAAATTGAACAATAAGATTTGTTTAAAAGAAAAGAAAGTATATATATATTTTCAAGGAATAGAGTGAATAAACATCATCTATGCACCAGCTGAATGAGTGGTGCCTGACACTTTTGAAGAGTAATAAGTAAGACCAGAAGTACAAATAACATTTCATATAACCAGGATAACTTAACAGTCTACATCACATGTATGCTACCTCCCTTTCAGGGGTTTGGGGATGGGATAGGCAGGGTTGCCGGTACCTAGCCCACATCTATATTCTGAAATGTGGCTTGTATAGATGCAACAACATGTTTTAAGTGCATCATTCTCAATGAAGATGAAATTTATGAGGAAAAAGATACCAAATCCAACATACCGGGAACCCCAGTGACAAAAATCTGATGACACAGAGAAGAAATTATTAGGATCATCTACATATTTGGCCAACAACTTTCCGTACATTGCTTCACTTTCAGCACTAAGAGCACCAACCAAAATGGGTACAATTTTCACTGGATGCCTACATCACAATCACCCAAAATCAGCTTCAATTAGAACCAAGTGGAGAACCTTATTTAATATATGAAAAAAACTTACCCCTCAAACACTTTAGAAAGATATGGCAAGTGCATTTCCATGCTATGCTCAGCTTCATCAACTCGAAGATCCATCAATTCAAATTTTCCAGTAGCTTTCAGCTCTTCAATGACTGAAAGATTAAACAAATATGATTATACTTCAGTTTTATATGAGTGAAAAATGAAGCTTAGAAAGAAAAAAAAAAAAAAAAAAAAAAAAAAAAAAAAAAAAAAAAAAAAACAACACAAGAACACTTAAACAAAAACGGCCCTTTCACAAGCCATTCAACAAACTCAGAGGGAAAAAAAAAATATAACAAAACCAAAAACCCCTGTCAATTAGCTGAATACAATATGTAGGAAATCATGCTGGACTTCGCATCAACGCTAATCTGACAAGAAAAAAAACTCAGCTACAAATGGAAATGGCCATCACTCACCTTCCAAATCAATAGGCAGGTCCCCTATAGGTGTCTTGTAAACTGTAGCTATTGACAGCTCACATTTTGTAGTGTAATAATGGTGAGATGGTCCGAGAAGGAATACCCGAGTACTGAAATTGTAAATTTTCTCACATATCAGTAAGTTTTAGCAATAAACGAAGCAGATGAAGTAATTAGTTTTTGTTCAAACACAATAATGTTCAGAAAGCAGTCAGTACAAAATATTTGAACAAATTTAGCTCAAACAATGAGTAATGTTTAGAAAACAATGAGGACCTTTCCTTTATACAATATGATATTAACTATAACAACTAAAAGAGGAGAAGTGTCATAAAATGGCTCACATGTTCGTTGGGTCTATGTTTCCAAAAGCATAGGCAGCAGCACGACCTGAATATGAATAGCCCGCATGCCTGAAATTCCCAAGCCACCATCAAAACAGAAACAATAGAATACAATAAAATTTCAGTTTCTGTTAGCAGAGGAACAAGCAATGAGGTGACAGAACAACTTACGGAGCAATTACACCTCTTACATCAGAAGATTTAGCCAAGCCGGCCGCCCTAATCCATCCATCAAGCTCTTCAGCTAATTTTCTTGCTGAGAAAAGAATTAAGTAGAAAGAAAGGATGAAAATCAGCAGGTTAACAAAATTAGGAATAAAGCAATATTTGCATACCCAGGAACATCAAGACTCTCCCTAAGCAATTTTATTCATCAAATTCTCGACTACATAAAACGATAATTTCTTTTCATTTGCCTTTTCCTAGAAGTTCCGATTGCAAAGGTAATAAGCTACATTTAAGGCATGAATTAACTCAAGCCTTTCGAACACAAGTTGAAATTATTCATCTTCTCAACTTCTGAAGATCAGTCCAGTGAACAATTTGCCATTTCAACACTTAATTCTAATTAAAATCTTCAATTCTTACAGCTTCATTTAACCGATGACTAATTTCATCCCAGAAAGATCGCTACTTTAATTAACTTTCCGAAATGACTCAGCTCCTCATTGTTTTTCTCTCTCTCGAATTAAACGACATCTTTTGTTTCCACTCGATCATTCGTAAAAGCAAGCAAAAGCACGAATCGGAGTTAGATCACGAAAATCGTTAGGGTTTCGCAAGCGCATGAAAGGACTTACGGTTGTCGGTGTACCAAGATCCTGCATGCGATGCTCTTCTGATTTTGTCCATTGAACTCGAGATCGAACAAAAGCCCCACAATCTTTCGACGGAATTGGATTCAGATTCAGAATTGGTATTGCGGTAGGGCTCGTCTTCCCGTCGAAGGAAGAAGGGTGAAGAAAGAAACGCCTTTTTTTAAACAATTCAAAAAAGGCACTCTCCCAGACACTCTGCTATGTCTGGAATCGATGCAAAGTGTTAAAGAAAGGAGACATAGCTTCAACACGTTAAGTTGCTCTCGGAAAATATAAGCTGCGTCGCAGGTGTACTGCTCTTCATAGTCCTCATGCGTTGTACAGAGCCACCTGCATTTATCACCTTAGGATCAAAGTTTGGTTAATTTGGTAATTTCATTCGCGGAATTGTTTCCTAATTAAACCATTATGCTCTGTCATATTGAATGTATAAATACTCCTTCTGTCCCTTTATTTATCCATTTTTTTAAATAAAGCATTTTAAAATAATTTTTTAGATATTAATATTCTTAATTTTGTACATTATAAATTTAATTTTTTTAATTTTTTGTATTAAAAAGTATTGAATATTTATACTTTAAAAAAATTCAAATTTTAATATAAAATACATCAAAATTAAAATTTTTGAATATAATACTTGCAAAAACTCTTAAATTATTTAAAAAGATTTAAATAAACTCTTATTTTTTAATTAAATTTAATCAAATCCATACATTATTATTTTAAATTCAATAAATTTTTATAATTAATAATTAATTGATTATTATTAATCAAAATATCAATTCAAATAACGCTATGGAGAATGAAATTGCAACATTATGTCATATCAGTACTTAATTTGTGACATATCAACTTGATCTATCATAAACACTTATTCGATTTTAAATAAAAATACAAAAACTTAATTAAACATAATAAAAGTATAAAATTTATTTAATATTTTTTAAACAATTTAAAAATATTTCAAGTTTGGAACGTTGCTCTAATCTAACTCCACCTTCCTGTCAAGCACTATCTCTTCATTAAGGATTTTGCATTCATATTCTTTGCGGAAAATAGCAAAAACAAAAAGAAGTGGAATTGCCATCAAAATTATCTATACAATCAAATTCCAAATTTCAATGAATTCCACTCTGAAATATAACACATGAAAAACAAAGCATCAAGAATGCTACTAACTTGAATACCAAGAAAACATTGTTACACTGTATGAACAGCACAGAATATTACAAGCTACAACTGAGCAGACCAATAGAAATTTACAACAAATTGATGACCTACATGAATAACAAACATGGTGGTCTTGCAACCAATTTATTACCCTTTGGAAATGAACCAATCAAATCATATACCACTACCCTCAAAACTGTGAAAAATATCTCCCAAAAAAATGACAAAAATGAATGAGGAAACTGGCTACATGCCCAATCACAAACTGCACTTTCAATATGGAAACCAACACCAGACAAACTTTTGTTCTTTGCTGCCAAATGCAAAGAACGTGCCAGACAGAACAGTCCATAGACAAAAAGAGACCTGCGATTACGGAAAAGATCAAACGCGATACACGTCCTTAGTCCAATTAGCAGTATACATTGATTGAAAGGAATCATACATCAAACGAGATTAATGACCACGTAACCAAGGAAAGAAAAAAGGACAAATGATTGCCATGGAAGCCAGGACCAGCCTAAAACCACATATGTGAGTTCAGTTTGTGACTGATTAAAATGACTAGATCACATGCCATGTCAAAAACAGTTTCTTTTTCCATAAATGATTAGATCACACCAAAAATGATTTAACAGTTAAAAGATTAAGGTAATAGTGGAAATTGCAGATAAACAAGCTGAACAGAACTAACCTTACCTATCATAGTAGCACACAAACTCTGATCTTGGAAAATGAATTAAACAAAGCTGACGGACTTGTCTAATGCCCCAAAAGAATACCCAATCAGCAGAAAACTTAAAGATGCTCCAAGACAGAATGAAGCTTCGGAGCCCGGCGACGGAACAATGGTTCTAGCCGGAATGATGGAGCACCAATTTGCCACCTTTTCACATCATACATCTCATTCCATGCCTGTACAATCTCGTCAATTTTGAATCCTAACCCTGCAATAAAATTAAGGGGACCAATTTTTCCTAATAAACAATTTTCCTAACGGCAACAGAAGTGACAACAAAACAGGTGCAATAAGAGAAGTTTGCAGATGAATCCTTTGTATATACCTTCCAATGCAGTGTTGTTGGAACAGTGGTTCTTTATCATGACAGCTATATCTGTTGGAGAAGCTCCAGCAAGTTCAAATTTCTCAACTGCAACCTCCAAGCATTCCTCCCAAGTTGGCAACCCAAGCTTGTATTCCACAACAGAACGCTCATAAAGCAAGGTACCCCATAACAGGTATATCTGCGAACTCATGTTTGCAGCCTGCTCAGCAGCTTCTTCAGCAGAGACATCTTTAAACAGCCCATCTAACCCCATTTTCTGCAAATGGGCCTTATACTTATCAAATTTGGAGAGTCCATTCAGTCGTCGCTCCTCCATTTCCTCCCACATTTGCATACCCTTCTCCATGCTGTCCTCTGCCTTGTTATAAAGCTGCAGGACTTCCTGGGAAGGCCCCGTCTCTAGATCAATTTTGCTCCCAAGCGCATGGTACCAACAGAGTTTTGCTTGCTCAAACTGCTGTTGCCCCAATGCAAGAAGACCTTCATAAAAATCAGGTTTAATTGTCAATGCTTCCTCATACCTCTTTGCTGCCGATACATATTCTTTCTGTGCCCACTCATACGCAGTCTTAATCTGCACCAGTACAGATTCCGTTGAACCATCTTCTGTAAAGAACACATGCTTCCTTGCCCTGGACATGTGAACATTTCCCCAATTGAATAATGCTAGAGCTGCCATCTCTTGGAACTTATCTGCAGCAATTTCAAAAAGCTCCTGTGCTTCTTCACTCGTGACAGCATCCTCCATTGCTTCCGAGTATAATTTCATCCCAAGTTCATGAAAATCCAAATAAGAATCAGAATCAAACCCAACATGGTTCTTGAACAGTCGTGCAAACTGGACAATCCAATCCTCCACGCATGTTCCCTGGATAGCTTCTACACCATGATCTGCATTACCATTCTCAACAACATTACTCCATTTCTCTTCACTCTTGACCACCTGGTCTTTACTTACTCCTTCATAAGCTGGTTCCTGGTCAGGACTAACTTCAACTATATAGAACCTAAGCGATCCTCCTGAAACACCACTAGACGATTCCGCCAACCTAAGTTCATCTGTTGTAGTGATTGTAACCAAATCCCCCTCTGGATCCCTGTATTTCACAAGAATACCCTCCAACCCTGGAAACCTATCCCGAACAATATCCCTCACCAATTTAATAGTACATTTGACGGGTAACTGTGCCCACCTAATATCCTCTCCAAACACCAACTTCACCGTCTTTGTAATCACTGTTTCTTCCTTAACAGCCTTCTTCTCTTCCTCAATGGTCTTCATAACAATCTCTTCATCCTTAACAATACTAACCTTCTTCTCCTCCACAACGGCCTTATCCTCCGCCTTCTTCTCTTCCTTAACCTTATCATCACTCTTGACATCTTTCTCAACTTTTTTCCCTTTGTTTTTCTTCTTCCTCAATTTCTCTTTCACCACTTTTCTGAGCCGTGAAGCCCCGGAAGGCTCATTATCAAACAACCCGATTTCATTTTCATTAACAATAACACCCTTCTCATCCATAGCCTTCTTAACACTCTCTAAAATCTCCAAAGCAGACAAATTATTTGGCTCAATAGTTAAAACATTATAAACATCCCTATAAGCTAAATCCAATCTATTCAAAGCTTCATAACACCTAGCTCTTTTCAACAAAGCTTTGCTATATTTAGATGAAACCTCCAAAGCCAAATTACATTCGTTAATGGCGCGTGGGTACTCTCCGAGACCCATCTGCATATAACAAGCAGCCATGTTGCTACGTAAATAAGCGACATCGATGTGGTTCCTAGGGAGGAGGTTAAGGGCTTTTTCGTACTTCAACATCGCGCCTTCATGGTCGCGTTTTTGGAAGAGCTTGTTACCTTCTTCTTTGAGCTCTTGAGACATGAGGATGAAGATCGCCGTGTCTTCATCGAAAGCTTTCGACGTTCGATCGGCGGCGGCCTTGTTTTGCCTGCTGGCTTCGATCGCTTTCAGGGCTGCTTCTTGAATCTTCTTCTTCCCCGTCGGCTTCCCCATTCGAACCAAAAAAATTTCCAACAAAGAATTAACCGCAAAAGAAACAATCCGATAATAACAAGAAGGAAAAAAAAACAAAAGAATAAACGCTAATTTCGAAAGGGAATATTATCAGATGCGATGGCGTTTTCTGGCAGAAGAAATGAAAGAAGAGAATTTTTTTTTCTTTTTTATATTTTTTTTATAATTTTTTCTCTCTCTCTTAGGGTTTGCTTGTCGGGAAGAAAGGTCAACGCTTTGCTTTGGCGTGGCGCGGTGGGGGGGGGAGGGACGGGGATGGTGGGGTCACTTTCTAAGTAAGCGCGTTTAGTGGACCGTCCGATATTCTCGTGCCTTTGTCGTGGGTCTCTTTCTTTGGAAGGTCAAGGGTGAAAATGTGGAGTTTTTCGTTGTATGTTGTCCTCCTTACAACAAAAGCCGACCAATGTCCAACTCACATAAAACTGGTTTTGTCGGAAACTTTTTTTGGCAACAAGCCATGTCATTTTTTTTTTTTGCTCTTTTTCTGGTTTTTGGCAATGCCAAGCCGACATATAACACATTGGACCAAGGAAAAAAAGCAGGTTTGTTTTTAACATAAAAAGGATTTAAAAAGTGTTTTTATTATTTATCCTTTTTTTAAATGTGGGTATTTTTATTTTTAATATTATAATTTTTTAATTTTTTACATTAAAATATTAAATATTTATATTATAAAAAATTAAATTTTATTATAAATATATGAAAATCAAAAATTTTATTTTAAATTTCATTAAATTGAAAAAAACATTTAAAGACGAAAGAAATATTTGCAGAACTAATTTGTCACTTAAATTATATTCTGTAGTTGGTATATAATTTGCTTCTTTTAGCCAGAAAAGGGGGAGATAAATTGGCTAATTATGGTCACCCTGAAGCATTTTTACTTTCCCATTACTGTTTGATAAGTTAAAGAATGAATTAATGGGAACTTTCCAATGCATCTAATGGCTGGTGATGATTTCAGATTTAAGATAGTGCGAATGACAAATCTATTTGCTTCTCTGAAAAGAAGAAAAAGGGTAAATGAGTTTAGTATCAGATTATACCTCAATCATCAAATGAACTGGATTTTGCTGTTCTTTTGGGATTGGAAATGGATGGTAATATCATTAATATATGGCTAGGATTTTACACAGTTTTAGCTCTGGGTTTAGCTTGTGCAGTGGTGGGCATTTTCTTTCCATAACAAGGATGGAAATTTCTAACCATTCCGATTGGTGGACTTACAGGAACAAGTAGTGATGCAGGCATCAATCAGCTGAAACCACTTCTTTCTCCAGTCCATGTTGATGTAGAGAGCAGCAATGAGTGTCACCACCACTGTTACGTAAGACACAAGGAAACTTAACCAGAAAGCCACCATCTCCATGAAACTGTTTCCTCCATGATCATCATCAAGACCGCCCGGTGATTGTTTCGGGGTTGGGTTACAGTCTTTCTTCAACACTGGCCCACAAAGAAAAGGATTTCCCTCGTAGCTGTTTTCCAGGAAAGTATCAAAGTGCCGTTTGTCAGGTATTTTTCCGGATAAATTGTTGTAAGCTACAGAGAAATATGCCAGCGCGTTCAGCTCTGTCAGCTGCTCAGGAATTGGTCCAGTCAAATTGTTGTGAGATAGGTCCAAGCTTTCTATGCTCTTCAGGCCTGAAAAGTTTGTTGGGATTGAACCACTGAATTCATTATGTGAAAGATCCAGTGCACGAATCAGCTCCAGATGCCCCATTTCGGGTGGTATTCTGCCTGTCAGTTTGTTCCAAGAAAGATCAATTCCAGTCATGTTGTATAAAAAGTTGTTCCTGTAGAAGTCAGACCTATTCTTGGTTGTGAACTCAGCATAGGCTATTTCATAACCTACAGGGTTAGCATAAGGTCTTTGAGATAACTTTACATAGCTGGTTTGATATGAATAGGCTGGCAACTCTTGATCAATATCCACGGAAATAGATATGCGAAATTTTCCAGAACGAAACCCTATTTTGAACGGTATGTTGTTCAAGCAAGAAGGAATATGACCTGAGAGATTATTGTGAGAAAGATCTAGAATGGTCATCATGGAACACTGACACAACTCGGCAGGGATTCTTCCTTCCAACTGGTTTTCTTTCAGGAGAAGAATGCTCAAACTGAGATTGGAAATCCAACTGGGAATACTTCCACTCAGGGAGTTGTTTCTGATGTCTAGAATCACTAAAGATGAGCTTCCAGAGAAGGATTTTGATATTGATCCTGTGAGTTTATTGTCATACAAGTGTACTCGAAGAAGGGATATTGGGCTAAAGCAAGATTGGATGGAACCTGAGAGATAGTTTTGTGAAAGATCTAGAATTTCAATGCCCTGAAGTGAACAGAACTCAACAGGAATTGGTCCGTCAAGGTGATTCCCGGCCATCAAAAGTGTTTGCAAATCAGTCAAATTTCCCAACCAAGTTGGCAGCTTACCTGATAAGGAGTTGTGACTAACATCTAGTGTCTTCAGAACTGAGCTGTTAAGCAAACTATCTGGGATATTTCCACGAAAGAGATTCCCATTTAAACGCAGAATTTCTAAGCTGGTCAGATTAGAAAACTTTGGAAACATTTGGCCTGTAAGATGGTTGTTTGACAATAGGAGAGCATGTAACGAGAAGCAACCTAAGACCAAGCTATCAGGTATGTCTCCTGAGAATTCATTAACTGACAGGTCCAAAACAAGCAGACTTTTCATATCACCAAACGAAGAAGGTATGCTGCCTTTGAAGGAATTCTTTGACAGATTCAGAAATTTCAGGTTTGGGAGATAGACACCAATGTTTGATGGGATATATCCTTGAAGCTGATTATTGGAGATATCAACCACTGAGATGAATGCGATAGGACGAGATGGAAGAGGAAATTGGCCTTTGAAAGAATTATTGTTCAAATGTAGTTCTTCTATCCTTGTATTATTCTCCATCAACCAAGTAGGAAAATCTGCGTCCAAGTTGTTATTGGAGAGATCAATCACTCTAAGATCATATTGGTAAGAAAGAAATTTCAACAAGGATCCTTTATCAACTGAACAGCTTGCAAGACGGAGGATCTTCAGCTGGAAGTGTGGAACCCACATATGATCATCGATTTCAACCACTGATCCATTGTTATGGCAGATAAGTTCAAAGACCTCAAGCTTTGAATGGTTAGCAAATGAGGAAAATGAGGCCAAACTTTGGAATTCGTTGTAAGAAAGGGAAAGAAACTCAAGGGAAATGAGGCTAGAGATGAAAGATGAGCTAATGTTCCCTGAAAACCTGTTCCTAGAGATATCCAAAACTCGAAGGGATGTCAAGGTTTCGATGCAAGGAGGCATTGTGCCTGTGAAACTGTTATAACTGATATCCAACTCTTCAAGATTCTTAAGTTTGCACAAGCCTGTCAAAATTGTCAGAAAACAAAATCAATAATAGTAAATACCTGTTAAACTTAATCCAACGAAAGCAAGTCGTTTTGAAGTACAACTAGGATTACCTAGTGAATGCAGGGTGCCATTGAGACTATTATCTCGCAAGGATAAGCCTTTGAGAGATTTCATTTGCTCCAAAACCTGAAGAAAGCTGCTGTTAAGACGACTGGAAGAGACATCCAAGACCTCCAAGTTTGTCAAACTGTTCAGCTCTAGAAAAAAGGGAAGGAAACAATCAAGATACGAGGAAACATTGATGGTTGGAAGGGGATGAAGAACTAATAATGAACTCCACATAGTTGCACATACCTTGAACAGTAATGGATCCTTCCAAGGTGTTTTCATTGAGATAAAGCCTCTTCAGCGAATGGAGATTCCCGAGAGATTGTAAAGTATTCATGTTGAGCTTACACGAGTTTAGATTTAGGACTTTCAGTTTGCTCATATTTCTAAGACCTGAACAGAAATCAGCTAAACCACAGTTTGACTAGGAAAACATCAAGTGCAAGGAAGAATAACTTCATAAACATTGGGTTGGTGTACCTTGAATCTCCATGAAGCTTTCTAACAGATTATTACTCAAGTCCAACTCCTCCAAGTTACGCAGAGCAGCCATTTCTTCAAAGAACAATAATCATCAGCAAAGTTACATGACAAGAGTCTACTTCTCCTGAGTAATTTTCAAAAGAAGTGAAAAGGGTTCCTGGAGACAAGAGTATATCAAGAGAAGAATGAAAAATACCTTGGAAATGAGTCGCTCCGGTCATTACACTGGAAGCCAGAGATAGAGTAGCAAGTGAAGAGATTGCTCCAACCTGTGTAAGAATGCTGTCATTAAAGTAGCTCCCGCTCAAGTCAAGGAATCTCAGCTTGTTCAGTTTAGACAATCTTTCAAAGCCTGTTGAACAATTGAATATTTAAACCTCATTCCAATCTCACAGCAGAATATCAGAATACTGAAATGATAAACTTGAAAAAGAAAGTTTCTTGTACCATCATTATCAACCAAACCAGAAAACATGTTTGAAGACAAGTTGAGGAAAGCCAGTTCTTTAAATGGAAGAAACAGGGAGGCGTTGAGATACACATCTTCAAATACTTCCTCCCATGAGCTGTTGAGAAAAAGCTTACTCACTCGTTGCGTCGCCTTGTCACACACCACATTTTCCCAACCACAACAGTCACCATCATCATCCTCCTCCCAAGAAGGAGGAGCATAGCCTTCGTCCGGATAGAAAGATGTTTTGAGTTCCAAAAGAGCAACCCTCTCTTCCTCATGGCAACCAAAGCAATATTTGTAATCATTAAACTGCACCAAGACCAAACAAAGCCAGAACCGGAAAACCCACTTCATGGTTTGAAAATATCTGTCGGTTGCTGCAGCTGAAAAAGAAAATATTCTTTTTCTGACAGTTGGATTAGTTTATAAAGTGTCTCAAAGGCTTCAGGTGCTGCTTTCAAATTCTCCATTAGTCCACGCTTGTATTAATTATATAGACGGGAAATGGCCAACAGCTAAAGAGAATATTCAGACCATTTGTTTCCTTAATTTCTTGATAATTATCAACTCACGGTAAAGGCGGCCGATTGGATAATCTTCAATCAATCTCTAGCAGAGACTTGGTATAAGCTTAGACAAGGCGTCGTTGAAGCATTAATTGGAAAATGACGCCAAGCTTGCAGTGAATTTTAAGGGTAGGCCGACAGTAGGAGGAGAGGTTTTACATCTAGAAAACACGACCTCGATAATTAATTCCATACAAAGAGAAGCAAGTCAAAGCATTCCTACTTACTTCTTCGGTTCTTAGGAAGAAGGAAGAAGACACATTGACATTTTCTTCTTTGTTTATTAAAAAGACAGAGGGGTGTTTTTACTGTAAGTAACTTCGTACGGTCGAGCTTCTAAGTTAACTTCAAAATCCGCAAAACAACAAAAGCAAAGAAGTCAAACACGCGGATAAACCATACATTCGAGTCTTTGCCAAGAACTGACTACTCAACATTGTCTCTATATGCTTGAACAAGAATGGGTTACAATCTATCAAAGCTATATTCAAAGGCTTGGACCGGTACGCCCAGAGTCCAGGAAATTTCCTATCCATGTTTAGATCTGACAACTGGTATCTACAATTAGCAATTTCCTTGTGGACAAGTAGAATCATTAACCCAGAAAAAAATGGAAAAAGATGAACAATTGTGCAAGCACACTCTTTCAAAGATGAATATTTATTCACTAAAACAATATTTACATAGTATAAGAAACGACTATACAGATTTGTGGTCTGCAGTAACGTGTTAAGGGGAAGCGGCAAAAAAAAGGGGTTATAAACTGCATGAAAGGGCATACAAGGATTCGATATCATATCAACCCACGAGAAAAGTCCATGTCAGGGAATATACATCATTTGTTAGCCATCCACCTCAACTTGTACAAATTTCTTATCACGATTTTGCAACAGCTTCTGATCACAAGGGATACCGATGACTAAATCACAATGCAGATGTACCCAGATCAGTTAAGAAACAAACTGAGGCAGTTAGTAGATCAGTTTTAGCTACAAGGTTATGTAACTGATAATGCCTTGATAAGTTAACAGACAGCTATTTTCCTGGCTTCAAATCACAAGCACATTCCATAGTTGCAATGCAAGTCGGCTGATAACAGGTTCAACCTTTCGGAAAGATATCAGAAGCTTCTCCGTTGTTGGAAATCCTATATGTGGAGACAGATTATGAGATCACCCGCCCAATGGAGCTATTATTTGAACAGTTCCAGCAGCAAGATAAAAGTCCCAAGATTCCTGACTCTACAGGTTGAGCAATATCCCTTTCTCTTTTAAGTAAAACTCTAACAAACTCATCTGAGCTTAAATGCCCATCACGATTGGAGTCAAACACATGGAAAATGATCTCTACAACATTGTCCGTAAGATTTATGCCACAGACCTGTATATGCATAGATTGCGTCATCATGATGTTTACTTTGAAAATTCTGTTATTTGGCAATTACTATGCAAGGCAGGTTATCAAAATAAAAAACTAAATGGAAAGGTTTCTAATCAAGAATAAAAGAAAAAATACCCAAAAAATGATGGAACAGGGTAAGAAAATGAAAAGATGTATTATATGAATTCTAAAATGCAAAGTTATAACTGGTCAAAGAAGAAAAACCAAATCATAAACAACAAAAGACTTACACGAGATGCTGCTCGTTTGAAGTCATCCTTTGTCAATAGGCCATTTATTTTCCCATAACTAAAAAGAGCCAAAGAAAATGGCTGCAATTTTCTACGTAGCTCAGCAAAATGTTTGAATTCATCCAAATTAATTCGAATCTCCCTAAGCTGTGGCTCATCATTTAATTCGTCAACCCGCTCAAGCAGCCTGCCTAAATGACCCATATCAGCAGAAGCAACCATGGATAATGCAAAATCCTTGGCTGATATGGTTCCTCGGCCTTTGTAGTCATAATGTTCAAACTCCAATCTCAGCATCTACAGAATACAATAAACATCACTTTGAATATGACAATCATCAAAATTTCTTTATGTGTGGGAGAAAGAGAAAAAGGGTAAAAAGGTGAAACGCCGAAGATAAGAACAGACATTCAGTGCAATTTGCCATGCATTACAAGCATTCTACGCATTAAAGGATCAATTTGATAAAAAAAAAAATTCAACTCCTTCAACCATTAAAAAAAAAAAAGATGTATAGAAAATGCTCTTACTTTTTGCAAGGAATTTTTGGCTCACTCTTAACTGTTAACACCTATTACTCATGCTAGAAGAAAAGGCTCCAAGTTTCTCATGCCAAGCTAACCATGAAGCATCCATGATAACCATACACATATTTTTGGGGAATTACACCAACATCAGACACAGTATAAGAACTAAAGACATGCAATACACAAACATTACAAGAAAATGATTTCAATTTTGTCAGACTTGGGAGAAGGGGGCTCACCTCATCCTGCAATTTTTCCAAAAATTCAACAAATTTATCATGTTGTAGGCGAGCCTTTCCATCTTTCCCAAAAAAGTGCTCCACCAGACCTCCGTTCTCCACAGACCCGGTAACTTTTAACCCGATGCGAAGACCATCGCTATGGACTGCCCCTTGTCTATTATTAGCTCGCATCAAAGCCATCACTTTCTTAAATTCTTCCTTATCAATCTCCCTATGTACAGATATTTACAGTCAAATTACTAAAATGTTAAGATAAAAAGGTTAAGGGAGCAAAGACAGCTAGCTCAAGAATATTCTCAACTAGATATAGAAATACTAACCCATTGTCGTCGACATCAAACATTTTGAATGAGATAGAGAAGCTTGACTGAGGGATGCTGAGTAATGTAACAAAAAAGATATACCTGTTCCAAAGAAATTATTCAGACCTGTACCATCCAAATAAAGAAGAAAAAGTAGATGAAAGTGTCTATTTAAATTGCCAGATATTGTTCACTTACTCTTTGAAAGATATAAGTCCATCAGTGTTCATATCAAAAAGCATGAAAAATTCTGAAGGATCACAACGTAGTTCACCAGGACTCCTTTCCCCTGACAAATAACCATCTCTAACGAGGTTGGATTCTGATGGAGGAAAAACAGGAACAACTGCTCGCATCAGATCAGCCGGTCTCATGAGTAATTCTCCTTCTGGAGTTCGAAAAGAGGCAAAATACACAAAAACCTGCAAGCGTAGAGATGCTATGAGGTAAATAACGAAACATGCATACGATACCTTATCAATACCAAATAAAATACTACTAACTCAATGCAAAAAGTTGCGGGGAGTAAATTATGAATCTAAAACAAAAAGGATTGCAAGAACAAACATTATAAATAATCTGAAGGAAATAACCCAAGATTTTCACCAATTAAATAAAGTCAAATTCTTAGCAGTTAGAATTATGAGAAAGGTTACAGTTTTTTTCAACAAATATTCAGTAATTTACCTTTTCCGGTGGACTCCGCAACCTTAACCGCTTCTCATAGTTAAAGAAAACTTTTCTCCTATGCACTTCTGCAACGGGTAAAATGTAAATACAAATATCAAAAACTATGTTTAACAATTAAAAAAGAAATTAGAACAACAGTAACAACCTCCGAAGATGAACTTCGAGCTGTAGTCAGGGAGGGCCAGTTTGCGAAACGCGTTTCTCGAACCATCAACGGTGGATTCAGCAGTGGCCGTCGACCACTCAGCGAAAGACAAAAAGGGTTTCTTCAAGAACGCAGAACTCCGATCCGAACCCGAGTTGAGTACCAGTAGACTAATCCTAAGGTCGAACCAACCGCGATCCCCGAGATCCATTTCACGAAAGAGCTGGAAACGGAATCTTTTCGATCATCGGAGTCGATTTTTGAAGCGTTGATCAGAGGCAGCGACGAGAATTGGCGGGTCCGGAGTCGTTGTTGGATCAGGGAGAGACGGTGCGCCGACGCCGAGGATCGTCTGAGAGAGGTCAAGGAATACATGGTTGTTGGGTGGTGAGAATTTTTCCAGCGTTTCCGAAGGCGGAGAAGAGATGGGAGAGAGATCCCGGAGTCAAGTACGAAGTGGAAAAATGGCTGAGATGGATGGATCGAGGATTTTGGAATTTTATTGGACAATGAAAATGCTGGTAGTTACTTTTAGTTGGAACAAAGAAGGCCTGGGCCAACCAAAAATCCGACAACTAGAGGAATCGAAGCTCTTTTTCGTTTTTAAGCGCTAGCCCAAGCCCGATAAACTCTTGGGCCTTGGCCAGAAATGGCAGTGGGGGATTTGCACCAGAACAAGGAAAGGAGCATAACTTTATAATGCAGAGCCTACATTTACCGCTGCTATCATCTGGTCATCAAAGGCCGCAGTTAACCGCCCTAATTCTAGCTTTTGATAAAAATAATTACACAAATTATTTACTTAAAACTATTATATAATATTATTACCTAATTAGACTATAATATCTAATTAAATTAATACTACAATACTATTAATTAATTAGAATTACATTATTAATTCATCAGGACATTATCTAAGCTGCTTTATATTTAATTGTCGTTGTTACTGTTTCAAATTCAATTGTCATCACTTGATTGACTATTTGGTTTACTTTTCATGAATTTTTTTTTTTTGTATTTTGTATATCTTGGTGTTCCTGTTTCATTGATTGATTTCCAGTTTATTATAACCCTGAACATCCAAATTTCTTGTTTGCAGATGTTCTTATCTTCAAATAGTTCATATTGTATTATTGGAGACAATATTTGATTTCTATAATTTTAGCCGTCTTCTACACTGTTATGGTTTAGTTGCTCACATAGGAGTAAGTCCTGAAACTTCTTGGCATCGCGGATGTGCTATCGTACGTAGTAGTTTCAATGTTGCACTTTCCCTTATCATTTTTTATATTATTTTTCATCATGGCACTATTTATGTCGTATAGTTGATTTCAAAATTTACTAATTAGAATTATATTATAGTATTTTTAATTAATTAGAGTTAGATTATGAATAGAATTAGTGTTATATATATTTATTTAATTATGTAATTGTATACAATTTAAATTTTTTTTGTAACATATACAATTTCATAGTACAAGATTTTTCTATTTATACTATGCCCCATGATATGAAGATAATCTACTACGTTGTAATGGCAGTCTTTTTTGTCCCAGCATAAATTGAGATCATGCCAAAAGAAGGAAAATATAGCATACAGAAATTATGGCAGCCTGCTTTGTGAATGTTAATAATGCACTCAAGCTGGTAGGGCAGTAAATTTACCTCTGTTGTGTTATCTGCATCCACTTCAACAGTGCAAACTCGATCTGGAGGTCAATAGAAAAAGGATTGCAGAACAGAGTATGGGGACCAAAGGACCAGATTAATTGAAGTACGCGGGTGGATTCGAAGTTCCCAACAAAACAAAATCTTTTAAAACCCAGGTTCGGTTTTGAAAAATGTTCTGACTCAAATATGTGAAGTTCAAAGTTTGGGTATATAAGCTCGTTTCATTTATGGGCCTCAACAAGAGTTTAGTTGCGTTTTAACGTGCTGGGTCAATCTCACTTGGTGACAAGAGCTTAGGTTCATTTTTTTTCAGCCGAAACGTCTAACTTGACAGCTTGCAGGAATTACTGGGGTTCATGAGTTTATATGGACGTGGAAGTCGTCAAGCCTACCAGCTCCACGCCCCGTTCAGGGTTACAAGAGACGCGTAGAAGGCCTGTCGTCAAGCAACCAAGAGGATTCGGCAGCAGGGAAGTTGCAGAGGATTTTTTGAGTTTAGAAGACTTGCCCTTTCCAGACCAGCAGCTCCCGATAATCACGGCAGAAACATCTCTTCAACCATATCCCCAGCTAGAAACGTAGGATCTTCTTCCTGGAGGAAACAAACACACAACCGCCATACTTTGCTTTTTCAGCCAGAACTGGATAGCACAACCCAGCCTTACATCCTTTTACGAAGAAGAAAAACTCGCAGACATTGTACCAACAAGAAGTGTCTCGGACAATAGAAACCAAACCAGACGATCATAACAAAGAAATGCTTGTTGAATGGAGAGTATCACAACAAGTTACTACTCCACTTAGCTATTTATTTATTTATATGTAAATAAATATAAATATATGTGTATGTATTATCTATAAGTATTTTAGATACTAAAAATATGATTAAAAGTAGATTCGTACATAAATAAAGATAAAAGATGGTCCCCTTCAAAATGCTATCAATCCCTTCCCACCCCTCTCCCATTCCAGTGATCACCCACATCTCAGGCAACCTCCGAATTCCGCCCAACAACTCACACTGCCGTAAGTAGAAACCAAGGACAGGTGATAATGCAACCCCAGACCCCTTTCATACCCAACAAGTCATTGAAAGGGCACCTTCACCCCACCCTTAAGATCTGCGACAATGCTTGAACCACCATCACTCCATCATCCCTACACCCACGATCACAGTTCCCTCCCCTCCCTCCTTTCAATAGAAACCATCCCGCCCTAGCTTACCACACACGGTCTAGAACTAAACATATACAGAAGACGATTCCATCAAGTAGGGAAGGAGCACCGTTCCTCAAAAGAAATGGGATCAAAAAACAGAAACTGAAGTTTCTTCCTTCATTTGGTTGTGGAAAGAAAGTAGTAGCAAAAACATCGAAAGGAATCACCATGGCCATGGTAGAGAATTTTTAACCAAAAAACCCACATGTAATGGAAATCCCCCACAACAATTTTACAAATTATTTACTTTTTTTTTTTTTGTTAAGATAGCTTTAAATGTGAAACACCCTCGATTTCGTCATCAAGAATATTCAGGTTTAATAGGGAAATATCCAAATTAAGAATAGGGAGACATCCTTTTCTCTAAACTGTTTGCCTGTGTAGAGAAATTTATTGTTGTAGAATTGGGATGACTGTATCTGTATCCCACACTATATATGAAATCTACGTTTCTGCGTCCCAATCCCGAGCAAACATGTAGGATCAGGTCACTCCGTGTAGTGGTGCTGATGTCCACATCCATCTTGCTGCCCTGAGCTTCTCTTTTAATTTCTTTTCCCTTTCCCCCTTTTTGCATCACGACGCAATTAGCTGCCCTTTTCAGAGAATGCGCCTCACTTCATTTGCAAGATCCATTACATGTTTATCTTTACATCCAAGTTGAAGAAGAGTCTTTTTCTAGTTGGCTAAGGTAGTCTCTGTTTGGGCCTGAGTGGCCTTCAGCATGAATAATTTGTTTGGCAATCTCTTCAAGAGAAGCAGGCCCCAAATAGTTCTTATTAAGCTTCTTGTCTGGAGATGCTATGTGCACCATTACCCCAGGAATGGCTAGAGTTGTAGCCGTAGGATCAATGAAGAAATCAAAATAAGCTTTCGTGTCATACTGCTTGTCCCTCACTTCTATAACGCATTTTCTTTATCTTCTTTCTTGGATATCTTGTACGCAGCTCCCCAAAAGACTTCCCCATTAGCAGGCTCCAGTGTGACGGTCCTGCCTGGATACTCAGGCGCCCCTATGTGGTCAGTACTCCCTTGGTAGAAGAGACGGCGATAATCTTTGATGAAGCCAACAAGACTATCATCATAGTTAAACCCGGCTTTCCAAATAAGAGAGCCGTACCCAAATACCCACATCGCCATTTTCTTCTTTTCATTAGTATTATTATTATACTCTCCTTCGAGAGCTCCCACGACAGCGGGGAAAGTGAGATACAAATTATTTACTTGTAATTATTTTACAATATTATTACCTAATTAGACTATAATATCTAGTTAGAATAAAACTGTAATACTATTAATTAGAACTACATTTTGAATAGGATTAGTCTTATATATATACATGTATTTGCATTCTCTATAACGTATACAATTTCATAATATAAGATTAGAGCTTCATATTCCAAAGAGAGAGAAATCTAAAGATCACCAGGTCATTTAGTATTGTATTTCAAACATCAGCAATGTCAGGCAGTCAATTGTTCATCTCAGATTCAATTTGCAGCAGCAGCAGCATATCAGCAATGGCAGGCAGTCTGTTGTTCATCTCGGATTCAATTGTCATCACTGCTGCTTCAAATTCAATTGTCATCACTAGATTGGGTCTTTGGATTTTTTATCAAGGATTTATTTTGTATTTTGTATTTTTTGGCGTGACTTATTACTATTAATTGAAATTTCTTGTCAGCATATGCATTTGCTCTTGAGTTTTTTTACCGTTTTATCCTTAAAATCGTTTAGGTTGTCCTTATTACGGGCAATAGTTTGATTTCTATAATTTTAGCTGCACTGTTATTTCAGTTGCTTTGTGCCATGTCACCACATCATTCAATTGATTTCAAGACTCAAGTTGGCAACTATTTACCTAATTAGATTACAATAGCTAGTAACTACAATATTTTTAATTAGTTAGAATTAGACTAAGAATAAAATTCTTTCATTCATCTATATAATTATATATAATTTAGATTTTTTTGTAATATATATAATTTTATAATAAAATATTTCTCTTCTTGTAACATATCTTATTATGCGAAGATAATCTATCATGTAATTGTAATAATAATTCTTTTGTCATTACAAATATTGAGATCATTCAAAGAGAAAAGGAAAAAAACACCATATAGAAGTTCTTTTTCCATACGAGGCCTGAGCCAACCCAAAGTCCGACAACATGAGGAATCCAAGCACTTTTTCCTTGGGGCCGAAATGGCGGTGGGCACTTACTTATTTTTAAGTGTTTACATCCGAATTTGATTATAATTTAATTACTTATATTTCAATTTGATAAAAAAATAGAGTAATTAATAAATTTAATAAACATTATATTAATTATAAATAATACATAAAACTAAAATATAACATTAAAATTATTATTTATAATGGTGTTCCGGTATAGATATGTTATAACTATTACATGAACTTGTGATATGAAATAAATGTACTAGTCAAATTCTTCTCAAACTCGATTATGATTATAAAATATTTAAACTCTATTTAAGCAAGTCGCATAATACAAAATCTTATCCATTATCATTTAAGGTGTCGTGTTCCTAACAAAACAAAACCTTTGAATACCGGATATAGGCTGAGTTAGGCTTTGGAAAGTGTCCCAACTCAAATATGTGAAGGCCAAATTTTGGATATGCAAGCCCATTTTATATATAAAGAAATGGGATCAACAAACAGAGACTGAAGTTTCTTCATTCATTTGGTTATGGAAAGAAAGCAGTAGCAAAACCATTGAAAGGAATCACCTTGGCCATGGCAGAGAATTTTTAACCAAACGTCCACATGTAATGAAATCCCCCCAAAACAAATCCTTTCAATCTGATTCTCTGCGAGTCTTTTAACGTTACAGCATTACATATCCACACTAGCTGCCATTTTCAGGCTCATTCCTGTTTTATGAATGGAGGGCCATTTTCCACTAGCTGTAGCTGACTCTATCGCCAAATCCGGAATGTAGAACACCCATTTATGGTCCTGGATTCTTTGATTTATGGCGTTGATTGGTCTGTACCCAAAGCAAAGCAAAATATAGAAGAAAGGCTTACAACAGAGTGAAGCTGCAAATACAAGCCGCACAGAAAGAGTCCTCATTCCAGCACACAAAGCGAACTAAAAGCTTCTTTCAAGAGTCTTTGTCCGCCTCAGGACCCTCACTTAATTGTTGCCCATAGAGGCGATGGCGTCTCTCTCGCCCAAAGATTACCCAGAAGATCAAAGAAAGCATAACTGCAGTTGAGACCATTACCAGCCCGATATAGATCCATCTACTATATTGCCGAAGACCAGGGCAGTGTTCGACATAAATGCCCGTAAACGTTTCCCGCACAAATGTGCAGTCTTGTAGCTGAACAAGGAAAGGAGCATAATTGTACAATGCAGAGCCCACATTTACTGCAGCCGTCATCTGGGCATAAAAGGCCGGAGTTAACCGTCCTGTTGTGGTGCATATTCCGGTTGCAGAAACCTGACAGACATAATTCCTCCATACCTGCAGCAAAAGAACACAAGTTTATATGCCTAATTCTAGCTTTTACCGATTCGCAGAAAGATTCAGTCAAGTTTCCTCTTAAAATAATTATTCAAATTATTTGCTTGAAATTATTATACAACATTATTACCCAATTTCACTACAATATCTAGTTAGACTAATACTACAATACTATTAAGTTAGTTAAAAATAAATTATGAATACAATTAATCCTTTATATATATACACGTTCTTTAGAACATATATAATTTTATAATACAAGATTAGAGCTTCATATTTGAAAGAGAGAGAAATCTAAAGATCACAAGGTCATTTAGTATTGTATTTCAAATATCAGCAATGTTAGGCAGTCTATTCATCATCTCAGATTCAATTGTCATCACTAGATCGGCTCTTTGGTTTTCTTATCAAGGATTTTTATTGTGTTTTGTATTTTTTGGCTTGTCCAGTTACCATTGATTGATTTTCCGATCTAATATGACCTTGGATATTGGTTAAATAGTGTAGCAGTAATCTTTCCAGCTATTCCTTCTATGCTTGCATTGATTAAACGTGGGTCGTGACCAGGCAACTATGCAGCACCGGAGGACGAATTTGCCAAGCTAGATAGAATGTAACGTCATCATTTGTGTCATGTTTCGTCACATCACATCATCCTTTGTGCAGTTAATTCAAGACTCAAGTTGGCACCTAATTACCTAGTTAGATTATAATAGCTAGTTATACTATCATACGTTTAATTAGTTAGAGTTAAATTATGACTAGGATTAGTGTTGGTGTTATATATATATATATCTCATACACCTATGTAACTACATATAATTTAGATTTCTTTGTAATATATATAATTTTATAATAAAATATTTCTCTTCTTGTAACATACCTTATGATACGAAGATAATTTATGCTCTAATGGTAATCTTGTTTGTCATAACATAAATGAGATCATGCAAAAAGAAGGAAAAAAAACCATATAGAAATTATGGCTACCTACTTTGTGAATGTTAATAATGTACTCAAAGTTGCCAGGTTCAGTAAATTTACCTCTGTTGCGTTATCTGCATTTACTTCACCAGCCGTGCAGATTCGATCTGTAAGGTCAGGAAAGAAAGGATTGCAGAGTATGGGGACCAAAGGACCAGATTGATTGAAGTACATGGTTGGAAAGTTTGGTGAAAAGTTGATGTTCGACACATTGGTGATGACCTGGTTAATCACTTCGACAAGCTGAGAAGTAACTTCCTTGCTTTTCAACAATGTTTCTTGAGTTGTCGCATTGTCCACACAAGGCAGTATATCATCTAAAGCTGTATGAGCAGTGGGATTTTGAACCCAATCATGCATTGCTACACAAGTATCTGCAGCCACACTAGCACATACAACAAACAATAGATCAGTTAGGTTTTCAGATTAGAAGCAGGAAGGTGTAGAAATTGTAGGTTCATAAGCTTGTGAGCTATGTCAAAACTTACTTATGGAGAAGAAGGAATGTACCACAAAGAATAAATGTTCCAGTTACAAGCATCCATCCCAGTATCACCAGGCTGCAATAGATATAATTTTAAACCATTCCATTATGAGAAAACCTGGTTCGAATCGAAATAAAATCAGAGAAAATACTGTGTAATGAAATTATATGTTTCCCTCATCATTAACTTACATGTAAACAAGAAGCTGCATCCCAAAAACTGAGAATACTGAAAGTAAATTACATTGCATAAACAAATTAACTCGCAAACTTTCTAAATTCTGAAAAAGAATCCACAACTGCTCAGTAAAGAAACCAGAGGGACTTACAGAATCCAAGAAATGTCAAGAGAAGCATAATAGCAGCCACTACAATAAGAGCCACTCTCCTGCAAGAGCATTAACATACAGCTTTAATGAACAAAGCTTTTTCTGGTAGCACGAAAACATATCCGTCAAAATTAAGAATCCTTCACTCACACAGAATCTAGGAGGTCTCGAATGTCATCTGAATTATCCACTGTTTTGTCAGCTAGAGTGCTTGCAGAAGAATTAATTTTTGCTCCTATCTCATCAATATCAGTTTGGACATTAGAAGGTAGAAAGACTTTATCCACCCCAATCTGCTTAGCTGATGCAAGAGCGTCTGACACATCCCTTAGTTTCCTAACGGTCATATCTGCCTGATTTACAACATATTGCAATGTCTTTGTGGTACTATTGTGAAACCTTCCTTGACCAACATATAGGACAATGCAGCCAAGTCTGAAACCACAGAATCAAATTGTTCAGATTTAGGAACACCGTGAAGCATTACCAAGCATGAAGTTGACACAAGAGAAAGATGCATTTACATTGCAGCAACAGCGAATAATATGAGGAAGATGAGAGAGATTGCATAAGCAATGCGAGAGTATCCATATGGCGGCCTTTTACAGCAGAAATAGCAGAGAAAGATGAGCAATAAGCAGAGCCCGAAGCCAACAAACCAGATTGCAGCAATTGCAAACAGCGGAACTGCAGTAAATGCCACAGACTGCATTTAAAAGAAAATGGAAAGGATTAGTTAGGACATAAATCTTAAACCGATACTGATATGCTAAAACATAATGAATTACATATAATCCAACTTCTAGGACATGAAAATGGAGAGAAAAAAAGGGTATCATGAGCTAAATCCGAGCACAAAGAATATTGTACAAGAAAGGGAGGGTCCATCTATCGCCTGCTTCCATGGAGGAAACAAGAAAAATATGGTATGCCTAAGCATGGGATCTTACAGGGATCAATCAACTTGCTTACATTATTAACTTCACATCATCCAGCATCAAGAACCTGCCTTGTTCCCCCAAAGCAGGAACCATGTCTCAATCCTGATTTGCTTAATACTTACTAACAATGGAAAATACATAAAAAAAAATGCAACTCCAAAAGGCAATTGCTGCAGTAATGGCATCCTATTCCTGACACCAGCTCAGCATTTGTGCAAAACATCAATGTAGGTAACTGGAGTACTGCTACGATGGTTATTTGGTTAGAAAGAAAGAACTAGTTTCTTAATCCTATGCTGTAGAATCTCTTGTTTTTCTCCAGATACAGTATTCTAAAATTGAAAAGAAAAAAAGAAGGGTATGATGGCGGACATAAACCAGAATGTCTGACAGGCAATTATACCCGACTTGTCTAAATCACAAATTCTAGAGGACCTAAAAGTAAAACTACCCAAGTGCCAACATTGAAAATTTGGACCAGGGCCAAGGGTCGAACTGTAATCATATGCTGGCAAGTGGAAAATAACTGGACATGAGTACATGGCCATGATCATGTCCCAAAAAGAGAGAAAGTAGAAAAAAATAAAAAACAGTTCATCCTTGGCTCTTGGGTCTGACAAACTTACAGCCCAGTAATGGCGCTCCCTGATGTTCCATCCTCCTGTGTATCTCTTGAACTCGTTAAGAGGATCTTTCCTGTAAGTCCTCTCAGCAGCCAAAACAAGTGATGAACTCACCTCCACCACAGGCATAGGTTCGCCAACCGGCCCTTCCACCACTGACCTCCTCGTAATCTCCCATGAAAACTCCACTGCATACTTTGCGTCACTCCCATTTACTTTCCCTGAAAATGAAAGTCGAAATAAGTAAGAAAGTAAACTAACACTCACATCTTTCTCTTTTATACCCCATTGCTTGAGAAATGTAACGTTTATGTATGTCACTGATACCCCGTGGCTTTGTATTCTTTGCTTGGTAAAATTCTGGTAGTAACCAGACAGGAACGAAGGTGAAGAAAAGACAGGGAACCTGACAAAGAAGCGAACATGAGAAATACCTGAAGCCGGTAGTACGAGGGGTGTAGGAGACTGAGAGACAGAAACTCCATCAGAGAATGTTGAGAAGGTTGAAAGGAAAAGAAATGTGATCACGAGAGAAAATGGCAGCCAACTCCAAGCTAACATCATCATCATTAGTACTCGAAAACAAAGAGAAGTAAATGAGAGAGAGAGAGGGACGAGACAGTAGACAGTGAAGTGTATTAACTGTTGCTTGAGGGGAGCAAGAAAGGAAAAGCATTGGATACTTCAAAAATAACAATGGCGGACATTTACAGATTTACCACTCGGTACTGTAATCCTCCATTGTATTGGAAAAGATTTCGAGACAGAAATACCCTTTGTGGATTTCGAAGTCTGATGTCCGAATGGTAGATCACTGCTATAAAACGACACCTTTCCCAGTTGAAAACTTAAAACTGCCAATCTGCCATGAAGGAAAAAAAGACTCTGCTTTTATTTATCGGAAAAAGTTTCGAAATGAAAGGCATTTTCATTAATTAATATATTTTTAAATTTATTTATTTATATTTTTAATATATATATACACACAATTAAACTAGATATTTAGATTTTATAAATGAAACATTATTGAAATCTTAAGTAAAATTTTTAAAATGCAAATATTATTAATAGTTAAAACCAATTTAAATAAATTAATTTTGATTATTCTAAATAAATTCGATTAAATATTCACCCTAAATAATACGAAGATTTCTCGACGCCCAGTGCTTTTGAATGCCAACGAATGCAAAAAATTGTTTTCAAACATATGTCGATTCAATGTCATGTGTATGTGAAAAAGCTGAGGCTAATAGCCCAGAAAGTCAACGAAGGAAGAAAAATCAGTGAAGCGGTCCCAGTAAACGCGTTAGCTTAGAAGAGCTCGCTGCCCAAGGGACTAGCTTTAGGCCGCGGCTTTATTTTTGACCCCAACCAAAAAGCCATCCAAAATGCACCGCAAAATCTCCGGCTCTTCCGCTTTTTATGACTGCTCCTCCTGTTCCCGCCTCTTCAATAATATAATAATCATCTTTTAAATTGACCCACTGTCATAAATGTAATTAAAAACAAAATTAATTTGAGGCAATTCATGGGAAGTTACAAGAGTTTTTCTTTAGTTAGATAATCATAAAAATTACCTCTAATCACTAGTAACTTAATTTGTAAGATTTATATATCAAATTGTTTATGATTTTTTTTTACTTATTTGTGATAAATTTCATTTTAAAAAAATGTCATGTGGTTTGTTTTCTATAAATAATAGTATTCAGAAATTTAAGCTTTTAATTATAAACATAAAGAAATATCTTTTTTTATGAGTAAAAGTATTAACATTATGATTAATATTTGTATAATTTTGGTCACTCTAAGATGAGTGAGTAATTAATCCCTCATTTGAGATTACTTTCATGAGCGTGTCATAATACTGAGTGTGACACATTACTTGAAATATATGTTGGGTACAATCATATATATTTATAGGGCTTTTGTGTTGTAGTTTTCGAAATAAGTAATTAAAACTATTTTAAATCAACTTTTTACAATCCTCACACTATATTTGTAAATCCAATTAATATTGAAAAGAAAAACAACAGGGATAATATCTTAATTTATCATTTTACTTAAGATAATAAATTAAATTTATTGTTTATCTTTTGAACATATATATGATGATTTTTAAATTTAATTAAAAAAATACGAAATTTTCTCATGAAATATTTTTTATTGTAACTTTGTTTAATTTCAAACTAAATTAAAAAAAATTACAATAATAAAATTGTACATATCAAAAAATATTGATAAACTAAAATGATAAATTTCAATTATATTATATTCCGAATTAATAAGAGTCTTGGACAAAACCCATTAATCCATAGGTGGGTCGATCCAAAAGAATCGGACACCTAATGTTTTTGGTTGTGCAAAGGTAAGGGCCCAAGGCCCAGAGCAAAATGTTTGCTTGCACAGTATCTTGTATACGATTTCTTAATACAAAATTAATGTTTGATTTGCAGAGCATGAAAAGTCATTTTTGTAATTAAGAGAACAGGGTTTTTCCTTATAATGCTCATTCCTAACGAGTTTCGCTCCTTCTCTCTGCTTGGATTAGGGTTTATCTTGTTGCCTGCTTGGCTTTTTGAGTCACCCAAAAACCCAATGGCCGAGCAGGTTATCAATATTACCGTTTCTCTCTTGAAGATATTATACATTATTTTCTATACATATCGTTTATGAATGCAATTTCTTTTAAATTTCTGGGTTGCAGACAGAGAAAGCTTTCTTGAAGCAGCCCAAGGTTTTCCTTTGGTATGTAATCGCTCTCCCATTTTCTCTGTTGGTTTTTACTACAAATTAACTTTTTGTTTATTGTAAGCAAAATGAATTTGCAATTGGTGTGACGTTTATTAATGTTTTTGTTTAGCTCGAAGAAGTCGGGGAAGGGGAAGAGGCCAGGGAAGGGAGGGAATCGTTTCTGGAAGAGCATTGGGTTGGGTTTAAAGACACCCAGAGAGGCAATCGAAGGTTTATTCTCTGTTACTTTTTTTGATGTTTTTAGCTTAGAATATTGTCAATGTATGAATTTTGGTAACTTGTTTTGAGGTATGCTTTCCCACAGTGTAGCATTAAGATAGAATAAACTTTGCAAAAAGTTATAGTACTGCTTTAGCTTTTGCTTTCCACTTGGTATTACTATGTTTCTATTATTTGTTGCAGCTGGGGATTTCCACCATTTCCATGTTTAGTGTAAAACTGAAGTGTTTTTGTCAATATTATAATAATTCTTTGGCTTTTGTATAGAATGCGATATATGGTCAACTAAAATTATACACTGAAGTTATAAACACTAAACTAAAATAGGTTAATCCAATCTACTCTGATCTTTTACATATGCCCTGGTTTGAGAGCCTTGCTTCTCTCATTCATTGTATGTAAATGCTCTACATTCAAATCATGTTAGTGGGTGAAGTGAGTTTAGCTGAAATGATGCTCTTCTGCCACGATAATTTGCTTTCATGGTGCAATCCCGTGATCATGTGTGTTCTTAATCATTAATATTGACTATGATTTTGATCTCTTATTTCAGTAATAATCCTTGGTGTTCTGTAATTTTAGGCAGAGCATTCTATCTGTCCAAAATCTTATAGCTGTGTTGGAAAGGAGATAATTGATTTCTTTTGCTATGCTATGCTTAGGTACTTAAATTGATAAAAAGTGCCTGTTCACCGGCACTGTTTCTATAAGGGGACGTATCCTAGCTGGTACTTGCCACGGTGCAAAGATGATGAGAACCATCATTGTTGGACGCAACTATCTTCATTATGTTAAGAAATATCAGAGGCAAGACCTTCAAACAAATTTTAAATCTGGTTTATCATTGTTCCTTTTGGTGAATAATAATGTAACGTTTCATGTCATTACATCTAGATATGAGAAGAGACACTCAAACATCCCAGGACATATATCCCCATGGTTTCGAGTTAAGGAGGGAGATCATGTTATCATCGGCCAGTGCAGGTTCTATTCTGCACCTCAAATTTATCCAGTTTCATGAAAACACTCAGACTCTTATTCATGTGCATAAATTTCTTTTTTTCCACAGGCCCTTGTCAAAGGCAGTGAGATTCAATGTGTTGAAAGTGATAACCAGCTGATTCTTCTGGTGGTGGCAAGAGAGCCTTTACAGGGATATGAGTTGATTCTTAGATTCAATTAGTTGTTGGGAGAAATTTTCTATTTGTAGTATATTGTAACTTTGGGTGCATCAATTTCTATTTAAGTTGTGAAGTTGAAACAACAAGAATATGTCAATGATAATATGTTATGGCCGAAAGAAAGGAATTTGTTAATGATTCTTTCTAAACTATTTTGATCCTTATAGATTATTTTTCACCATTTTTATCCAAATTATTAAAAAAACTGACCTGTAGTGTTCATTGGCTCTATTATATTAAGTAAGTGATCATTTAAGGATAAATATGTGAAGTAGTTAAAATGGTTGATTAAGTAAATCTCAAACTTATATTATCTTATCCCTATCCTCACGATTTGTTACCATCTTTGTATCATTATATCTATCTTTTATCGATTTTTTTATTAGAAGAATTCAATTTTGATCAATACTTTTAATAAAGTCATGAAGTTATAAATTTTTTTAAAATATATTTGTTCGTCATAGATTTTTTTTCGGGTCAAACGTAACTAAATTTAATAAAATCACAAAATAATTAATGATTTTGAAAGTAAAAGAAATTAAGATGGAGTCCGTGTGGAGTTGTTGATCTGTTGGTTTTCGTCACCTCAAGTTTAAGTGTTACACAACACTCATGGAGCCCGTCAAACTTTATGCCATCAATCTATTATGAGAGGTGTACGTCGTGATCATTTTAGTTTGTTAAATATAATTTCAAGGCATTTATTAGGGTTTATTAATAGTATGGGAAAATATATTACTGTACAAGTAATTCAAATGAAAACATATAAATAAAATGTTTTGGTTATTAATGTATGTATCAAATGTTAATTCATATTTGATTATGGTTATTAATGTGTGTATCGTGTATTGTGTTGAAGTCTTTAGCAAACAATTAATTAAAGACTTTGGATGACATATTGGTTTAGTGTTAATAAATTTACTATTAAAAAAAATATATAGTATCGTGAATAATATCATTAATGTGTATCATGAATCTAATTTTTGAGGAATTTTTTTATGAATTTAACTTTTTAATATCTTGTTTGTATGACAGCTTTTCATAAATTTTTTTAAGGGCAATGCTTCAATTTTATCAAGGTATGTAATGAGAATTTCATCTCATAAGTTATTTTGATATAAGTATGCTGCTTTTTTTTCTTTTAAATAAATCACAATCTTATATACTCATTTTATCTCTATTTTTTTATTTTTAATTAAAATTTCACAAGATAAAAATTAAAATTTTAATATATTTTCTATTAATTTTTTTTATATTACAAATTTATAATATAAAGAATTAAGAATACTAACTGTTAAAATAGTAAAAATGATTTTATTTTGAGAAATACATGAAGTGTGGGGGTTAGGGTTTATAAAAAGTGTAGATAAGCACCAAAATCAAAAGTCAGTGTACTCTTCCATTATACTCTCAATTAACTCATAAAGCAAACAGCCACCATGTACAGAGTAGCAAGTGCATCGCAATATTTGGCGATCACCGGCGTCGGCATCGACGACATAAAGCTTGCCAAAAAGTCATGGATATTGCCAGGCCAGAGCTGCACCCGTTTCGATGTCACTCCCGTGAATTACACGTTCAAAGTCCAAGCCATGAGCGCCGAGAAACTCCCCTTTATTCTTCCCGCTGTTTTCACGATCGGCCCACGCGTGGACAATGAAGAAAGTCTCCTCAAATATGCCAAGCTTATGTCTCCCCATGACAAAAACTCCAACCATGTCAATGAACTCGTACAGGGTGTCATTGAAGGAGAAACTAGGGTCTTGGCTGCTTCGATGACTATGGAAGAGATATTCAAAGGAACCAAGGAGTTTAAGCAGGAGGTATTTGAGAAGGTTCAGTTCGAACTTAACCAGTTTGGGCTTTTGATATACAATGCTAACGTTAAACAACTTGTTGATGTGCCGGGGCACGAGTACTTTTCTTACTTGGGTCAAAAGACTCAAATGGAGGCTGCTAATCAAGCCAAAGTTGACGTGGCGGAGGCAAAAATGAAGGGAGAGATGGGGGCCAAGCTAAGGGAAGGGCAAACGGTTCAAAACGCTGCAAAAATTAATGCAGAGACTAAGATTGTATCGACGCAGAGGCAGGGTGAAGGGACAAAGGAGGAGATAAAGGTGAGGACTGAGGTGAAAGTTTATGAGAACCAAAGAGAGGCTGAGTTAGCGGAGGCAAATGCGATTTTGGCAAAGAAGAAAGCAGGGTGGGCTAAAGAGACTCAAGTGGCGGAGGTGGAGGCTTCCAAGGCCGTGGCATTGAGGGATGCTGAGTTGCAGAAGGAGGTGGAGAAGATGAATGCTGTGACGCAGACCGAGAAGCTCAAGGCCGAGCGTCTTAGTAAAGCCAGCGTTGAGTATGAGATAAAGGTAAATAATTATTTTTGTAATTTTCTATGTTGGTTTTGTTGTGGTTTCTGTTGTTTTCTTTTGGAATCTTTGTCGTTTCCTTCCTGTAGATTTCACTGCAACTATGATCATGTGCTGTCCTATGATTACTCAGATATGATGATTGCCTTTAACGTTTTACTGCTCTGCTGCGTTGCACCTGGGAGACTTTTGTTGGCCTCTTGGTTTGCTTTTAGGCACATGGAGCCATGCCTCAACTAGTACAGGACTTGAAATACCGCAACTCTAGACAATATTACAGTAGAACTTAAGTGATTTATGGCTTGGATCAAGAGAAAGATATGCTTCAATTTTAGGATGAACTTCAGTACTGTCCATGAAACAACATAATTGTCTTCCTTTTTCCCAGTTGTCCCTGGTGATTCTTGCCATTTTTATTGAAGGGTCTTCCCCTGACCATAGACTTGGTTATATCTCTAACTTTGAACTTTTATCGTGCACCATGATCTTTCCCCATTTTTTATAAAGGTGCGAGAAGCAAATTGGGAGCTCTACCAGAAGCAGAAAGAGGCGGAAGCTGTTCTGTATGAGAAGGAAAAACAGGCTGCAGCACAAAAGGCACTTGCAGATGCTGCCTTTTATTCTCGACAGAAAGTTGCTGATGGTGAATTGTATGCAAAGCAAAAAGAGGCAGAAGGACTTGTGGCACTTGGAAAAGCTCAAGGCCTGTACCTAAATACACTCTTAAATGCACTGGGAGGAAACTATGCAGCCCTCAGGGATTACATGATGATCAATGCTGGAACGTTTCAAGACATTGCCAAGATTAACGCAGAAGCTGTGCGTGGATTAAATCCCAAGATTAGCATTTGGACGAATGGCGGGGAGGCAACAGATGGGACTGGAGCTTCTCCTGCAGGTGGTAATGCCATGAAGGAGGTTGCTGGTGTTTACCGGATGTTGCCACCATTGTTTCAGACGGTTTATGACCAAACTGGGATGCTACCACCACCATTCATGGGCACGTTATCTGCCTCAAAACAACCTACAATGGATTAAGACATGATTTCAAATCATGCTGCTCTGCCTTTATCATGTTTTAGCAGTGTCTGAGGTTCAATAATCTTATCATAAACTAGCTGGAAACTGAACTGTTCTGTTTGATTTGTAACTCAAAACATTTTTGGTGCTTTGTTTATCAATGCAGAGGTTTGATTTCTGACATGTTGATGTCATTTTATCCCATGGATTCTGATTTTGTAAGTGATGGAAAGTAAACCAGTAACTTTCACTTTGCCCCCCATCGTTGCCTGCTATATTCTGCAGCTAATAGATGCTGTTTTCCATTTCCAGGATAAAGACAAATGCTAATTCCTCCAAAAAAGACAGCATATATACTAGTACTAGTTCTGTCTACATTTTGTTAGTGAATCTAGAATCAAGACCCAAACTTACTCCACCATGGATGATAATTCTAGATGATATATAATATAGTAAATTTAATATTCAAAATTATTGTTGATAATCAAATTCGGATAATGGATATCTTATAATCACTACTAGAATTTTACTTAAATCCACAAAATGAATAGTAATTTTATTAGTAAAAAAGATCCATGATCACTGCTAAACATAGTCTATGATGATATATAAGTATATAACATAGTTATGTGAGTGGCCTATTGTGGGCTTAATAGATGAACCACTATTGGGTTTGTTGTAATCATCGTGTTCCGAAGCTTTTATTAGCAATTTCAGTAGGCCCAGCCTTCGCTGTCAATGGACCCAAAATCAAGAAAGGAACAAATAAAAGAAGACAAAGGTCGCCATCCAGGAGCAGGACAAGGTTCTCCTCCCCAAACGTTGGATAAAGGGTTTCTTACTGTACTTGGCAAGTTGGGAATAAGGCTATACTATACCCCACCTCATCCAAACACAACTTTTTTTTTTCCCCGGTGGAACCCAACCCATCTTCCAACCACTCCCAACCCCACCCAATTCTTTTCCTCCCCCAGTCGCCCAAATTATTTGGGTCCCACACCAGCCTTTGGCGCGCATGCCCTGAATTGCTCTTTCACTCGCTCTTCTTTTTGCAATCAACAATCCCGAACCCAGCTGTAGTAGCGATAGACGGCCCACGATCTC